CCCGCCTCGCACCGCGGGTGTTCCCAGAGTCTGCGGCCAAAGCTGCGGCAACCCCCCTGCCCCTGCCCCTGCCCACCAGTATTTCTGCTTTAAACACGAATGGGACCCGGGAGGCCTCGCTCGGCCTCAGACGGGCCGTGGCGCGCTGGTGGAGCGGGACCCAGGCCCGCCTGGCACCACGAGTCCTTACAACCAGCACGTTCCCTGTCCACGTCTCCCCGCTCCAGACCTGGGCTGGGTCTCTGGACTCGGAGCTGGGACCCAGAAGACTTCCACGTGTGACACTGATGTCCAGGGGCTGCTGTACGAGTATCAGTTTGTGGGAACAAGCTCTTAGGGTTTAGCTCATTTAAGTCAAATTTATTAATTCCCTTGAAATCTGGGGGAGATTAGTAGAAACTGGATTAAAGGTCATATTTAAAAGATGAAGCTTGCTCCTACCGCGACGGTTGGCAAAGAGGAGTTTGCTGTGGAAATGGCTCCAGCTGTATTTGCCCACGGCTGCATGTGCTACAGGAGGGACCGTGCCAGAACGCGCGAGCAAACGTGTGCACAAATGTAGCCCCTCTGCGTGCGTGCGTGTGTGCGTGCGTGTGTGCATGCCCTCAGTCACACCAGGCACTGTGCTTGTGCACGCTGAAACTTCTGCATGGAGAGCCACGCTGCCCCCACGTGATATACACGTCTGTGCGGGCACTCCGCCACGCACGTGCAAGCATACCGAAAATCGTAAGTTGAAGATGCCACCTTGGCCTTCCCATTTAAAACGGAACATTTTAAACCCTCATTTTGCTCATTTCAGTTTTCTGACTCACAAATTTAAACAGAATTAATTGGTTTCACAGGCTCACCTAAGCGGAGTAATTTTCTCTCACTTTGTTAAACACGGTAATTAAATATGTACTGAAATTATTAGGCTGGGTAGGAGAACGCTTCTTGTAAAGTTTAGTCCGGGAGTCCTGCAGCATAGAAGTTTGCAGCAAGAGTTTAGAGCGTGTCTCTTGTATTGCGGATTGCACAACAGAGAACCATGCTGAATATCATGCCAAAGATCTAGGAGAGAAGGAATGGGATTTAGGGACTTCCAGGAGATGCCTCCAGTTACAAAAGCCATTGTAAAACTGTCCGTCTTATCAGAGCCATCTAGTGATCTTTGCAAGTGAGTGGCCACGGCAGATCGTGGTTTCTGTCTGCAGATCTCAGGACAGCAGATACGCAACACGGAAGACACTTCTCTAGCGCTCAGAGCCAAGCTGATATTTGAACATACAAGTGCCACAGACATTATGAATGCTTTGCACAGCATAAGTTCTTGCCAAATTTCAATAGGGGTTTATCCCACTGAGGTCATCTGCTCTGACACAAATTCAGTCCTATTAATAGTACCAGGGCCAGCACCGAACAGAGGCTCGGGCTTCCAGAGCAGCACAGAGACGGGCCGCCAGGAATCTGCCTGCAAAGTGTCTGAATAAGAACAGAAAGCAGAGCTGGGCATCAGGCTTGCACTGGGACTGCTTTAGGGCACTGCGGTTTCACACAGAAAGTAACACCTCCACAAGGACTGCGCCTGCGGGGAGCTTACCCTTAACGTCACCACTACTTACCAGCTTGGGAGCAGGAACCTACAGAGGACGGTGAGTGCACAGCCCAGCAGAGAGCACTGGAGACCCAGTAATTTCCCCTGGCCACAGGTTTCATTGCCCGGGCAGAGTTTACTGGTCACAGGAAGCTGGCAGCTCTGCCTGGCGACATACACCAGTGACACCTTCCCCAGGACACGGGCACACAGCTGGCCAGCCTTGCCACGTGGCAGGGACAAGGACAGAACGTGGAAGTCGTGCTGTAGCACTTGCTCCTTCCGCAGGCAGCATCCGACACCCCTCTCTCTTCCCCCCTCCGTGCCATTTCGAGGGGTGTTCACTCCCTGTGCTCAGCACATGCTTTTAGCACAGGGCAGCCTGGGGTGATGAGGACTGGCTCCCTAGCAGGCCTACTGCAAAACCTGTTCTTTCAAGCAACTAGCTGAGAAACAGGCATGTGCCATTTCTGGCTGTGGGAGGAGCCACGAACGTACGTCACTGGAAAACCCTGCTCTTCCCAGCAACTGGATAAGGTGCACTTGGTCCGTGAAGCTGAGTCGAGGCGCCAGCAAAGAAGCCCTTCCTGCGGGCAGGGGTCAGATATGCTGGCGCAGGAGGCCCTGTCTGCAGCACTCTGGAAGGGATGAAAGCTCAGGGTAACGGG